AAAATTGTACCCACTTATACCAATTATGTATTTTTTTTCCATCCCTATAGAAAGTCTGATGGTCTTTACTTTATATACAAAAATGATATAATACATTTTTTCTTCTTTACCACACTCGCGTATGGTAAAATTATTATTGAAGTAAAACTTCTTTGTTGAGGAGATATGGATGGAGAAAAAATCGTCACGAAAAATGAAACGCCACGAAAGATGATGAAACGTCATCACGAAAAAACGAAACGGTGCGTATGAATGCGTGTGTATGACTGCGACAGAAATCGGTTGAATGGTTAAATGTTATTATATAATAATATGTCCGAGTGTGATATAGCGCGTCATTTATGATTTAAATATTATGTTTAAATCTTATATTATTTAAATCTCRCTTATTAATTAACGGACCCAATACTTACGAAAGAAGTTTTACTTCCCCGAAGTGTAACTCACACACTCTCATTATTTTTATAATACCATAATCATTATCACTCATCGTGCTATAATTTAAAATATAAATAATATTTAATGATTTAAAAATTTAAACAATTGAACTTCATTTTAAAAATCAACAAACTAAGATTGTTAGAGCCGTGACCACTRGTCGATGACAGTCCTTGCAGTGGCGCAGTGTCGTACCAACAAAATGAGTAAAATAAAATAATGACGTCAACGAAAATCGTTTGGGTCATAATAACGTTTTTGAAAATCGCTTATACGTCGATACCACCACCTTATTATAATAAGTTTCCATCATGTAATACCAATAATCCAATGCAATTATTTTCATACTATTAACTGTGWACACGCCGAAATCGCCATGCAGAAAATGCATTGTTGAACTGATTATGTCATTTCACCGAGTAGGTATTAAAAGTGCTATAATTAATCGGTTTGTCATCAACCGCCCTAAACCACCTGTGTTATTTTTAAATTTCCAACAAATAACAATAATAAATGGTATATAATTATTCTATTTCATCATTGTTAGCGTTGRATTTTAAAAATATGGGTAACCTACAACGGTTTACCTACAACTACCTACTGAGATCGTAAACAACGCTTACACTGCTTATATATTATGCACGCCACGCCACTGGGTATGGACGTTTTACGTTTAATAGCGTACAACTAAAATTCGATTGGATAATATAATGTATGAAATACCTTCCAATCGTATGAACTACAACTGCAAATATCCTACACATAGAACATTATGCTTCGCCTCCTTAACACCACCTATAGAACTATTATTATTTTTTATTCTAAACAATTTTTCTCTGTCTTAGTTTTATCACGACGTTTTTTACATTATTTATGTTATAATTTCAATAACTTGTTAATACATTATATTATATTACGAGCTATGTAATTGCCGATTGGCGTCAATAAATAAATAAATAAATAAATACATAATTGTAATACAGGTTGTCCCGCGAGGATTTACCCTTATTGCGATAGCTCACAAAATAATGGAGATATCGAAATTCTGGTTTTGTGATGAGACTCAAAGTGATAAAAACTACAATTTTTTTCATTTTATAATTTATTTTAATGTTTTGGTAAAAATTTTTATTTATTTCAAAAAAAAAAAAATTAAAGATGGCCATTTTTTTGGATTGTTTATTTTTCTGAAAATATTGACGTTTCAAAATTCGATTTTCATAAATTGCCTGATTTTAATATTTTTTTCTAATTTTGCTTTAAAGAAATAAAATATGATTATAAATTTATAACAATAGTCACAATGAAAGTGTTC